ACCACCACCACCACCACCACTTTCAAAGGCTAGCCCGCTAGCAGCAGCTAATTTCTTTTGAATGCGTTCAACATGCGACACCATGACATACCATGACATTCTGCCAGGTGTCATCATGCAGTACAGGATGCAGGACATCATTTGCCCTGCTAGGTATGGACCTTGAAGTGATCATGTCTGAAGAAGTGCCAGTTTTGGGATTCGCTTTAGTCGCTGAAACGCTCAGATTGTACTCTGAGCATGGGCTCCTTCGTCGCATTGTGTTGTGGTGCCTGCCACCAGGAGACAGTCCGGAATGAGAAGAAGGCTGGCAATCTTTTCCATGTCAATGTGCTGTCAAAGTCTTGACGTGCAGGTGATGATGATGACCCGTTCGTGTTGGCCCAATGTGTATGACAACTCAAAGCACCTCTGACAGGAGTCAAAGCCTTCATGAGTTTAAAGGCCATTCCTTATTCGGCTTGTGGAGTGCTTCAATAGCCGCACACTCGGCCACGACTCAACAAGAAAATTTCTCCGGAGATGTCAGTACTTTGACATCCGTCCGAGATGGGTGAGGCGAAGACCGTCTGGAGATTCTGATGGAAGCCGCCTTAGGCCGGGTGCCTTGGAGATTTAGTAGGATGCGTGAGCCACAAGACAACTTATCATGATCGAGCACGATTGCAAAAACAGCGGCAGCAGCAGCGGCCGCCTCCGACAGCAAGGGAGCGCACGGAAAGCAAAGGTGCAAGGATCAAAGCTGGAAGGAAGCACGGTTTCCATGAATTTCCCCTGGGGTTGTACGAGTTGTCCAAGTAGACGGGCTACCATCCACTTGCGCAGGGGAGGCATGGCCAATAACATGATCTGTGGGATCCTATAATGCACGGCCAGCAGGCCCCTCCAGAAGTATATAGTTGTCGCTGTTGCTGGAAATGCTCAGGTGGAGAGCTGTTGGCCACCTACTCTAGGAGCCCAGTGCCTCATTGTGCTTGAAGCAGGTTGCGTGTGCAGGGGGGTTTTTCCTTGGAAGGCAACGATGGTGCAGTGTGGTGCGCAATCCATAATTTGTCGTCTACGGGCTTGAGCTGTCAATGGGATGCCAGGTTAGCATGAGAGGAATTCAGGACCCTCTTAGTTTGAACCTGTCAAAACTTCTCAACCCCAAACGGAACCCCTGCATCTCGCAACTCTTGTCAGGAAAGGCCTTTGGGGGTCAGTGGATCATGCTCGCTACTATGTGGCTCCTTGGCTTTGATTTATCCGCTCCGGGCGGGTGTAGGACCCATAAAAGCAGCATAGTGGAGAACCAAATGGGAGGAACACGGAGATGAAATGGACATTGGTTATGGGTGGGATTACCTCCGATAAACGCTCCCCATTAGTGGGATGTGGGGCTTGATTGTGAGGGGAGGGGGTTGATCTCATTTTGGTAGTCAACATGTAGAAGTAGGAGTGTTCAGGTTCAGGTGCAGCCTTGAAAGCAGGCTGGACTTAAGGGTTCTGAATTTAGGGTTCAAATAGTCAGTGCTGCTGGCCTCATGAGACGCCAAGCTGAGGAATCATCAAAGGTTTCATGAGTTATGGGACGTATAAGTAATTTGCAGCATGTTGCGTCTCGTTGGTTGTTGACGACGCAGCTGCACCTCAGCATTGGTGTAAGAGCGTTTTTGCCAACTGCAGTACAGGCGCATTCTGCTCCTCAACCCCACCCTACCAGCACAAAGCCATAGTCAACGTTCCATGCGCGAGAATGCGAGAAATGCATGCGGCCGCCGTGCAGAATTAAGCGTCTTCAGCTCAATCAGGTTCTCATCATAGTCATAGTTATTGCTGAGAATATGATGCCCTCTTGGACGCTGAGTGTCGTCAAAATCTGGCCGGTCCTGGCCCAGTCCACTCAGCCCACTGCTCAGTCCGAAGAGGCCGCCGGCAGGAGAACGCTTCTGCGGTCTTCCGCCGATCGCATGCCTAGTTGGCCTGCTCTTCGGCAAGTCCCACTACAATGCCAGTTGCAGTTGGTGAAACTTTGAGACGCCTTGTGGGAAGTGCCTCTGCCAAGCCTATAAGGAGGAGGCCCAGTCCCTCTTCTGGCCCTTGCAGGTCGGGGTTGCTACCCCTCTGGGGGGAGAATCCGCTGTGCACACCGTCCGGCAGTGGGCGCACCGAAACGCGGGCCATGTTTCCAAAGTCCTCATTAAGGTGGACTTTCGCAACGCATTCAACACTGTTGACAGGGGTGCCCTACTCCGTCAGGTTCGCTTGCACATGGTCGGGCTTGCCGCGTGGGCTGAATGGACCTACGACCGTCACAGTCGACTCCTTTTCGCCGAGACTTGCGTGTCATCTGTGGCGGGCGTCCAGCAAGGGGACCCGCTCGGCCCGCTCCTTTTCTCCCTGGCCCTTCACCCTGCCCTACAGGCCGCCAGCGCTGGGCTCACCCCGCCTGACCTTGCGCTTGCCTTCCTGGATGACGTGTGCTTGGCTGTGACTACCGTCACGCTGCTGCAGCGCTTTCCCGCCTCACCGCCGCTGCTCGCCAGGTTGGACTCGAGCTCAACCCAAGCAAGTGCGAAGTCACCACCTGTGGGGGGCCCGACAGTTGTGTCGACATGCGGGTTTTCCCAGAAGGGGTTCAGGTCAACTCCAGTGGCGCCTTCTCCTTTCTTGGCGCGCCCGTTGGGCCCCCCGCCTACTGTGAGGCCTTCACCATGTCGGAGCGTGTGGACAAAGCAAAACCCCTTCTGCAGGAGCTTGCCGCTCTGCCGGACGTGTGGCCTATGCCTTGCGAGTGA